AAAGGTCAGAATTATTTTGAAATCCTCTTTAGTACTTCCTATAAGTACTCACGTACTTTGCCAAACTGGCTTTGAAAGTCTTCCAGAAATTTCCAGATCTTCTTTTCGCAGAATTCCATTTAAATTTCGTAAAATATTATAAAAATGAATTTCCATAGAAACAGTGGACAGCATTCCATTGATATTTTTCTCATCAATCGTATCAGCATACTCCTTAAGTTTCATCTTAAGAATTTTCTATGATTTCTCTTCTCTCTTTCTGACTTTTTCCTTTCTTCTCAAAATCTTCATGCAATTGTCATCCGAGTTTTGAAAAAAACAATTGACACCGCCTCCAACCAGAGGTTGCACATACTGCATACTTAACACTAGACAACTGATAACACATCACAACAGTATGCAAATTTTCAGGTTGCGAAAAGATACACCAGTTGGAGCGGGATTCGAGCACTCACAATACGCCTTTTTAATGCACCACCAACGTAGAGTGCGCCACGCGAGTTCGAGAAGAAACGTCAACCAAACCGTTTGTTTACATCAGAATAAGTATTTTCCCCAACGCAAATAACAGCATTTTTCATTCAAAATCTTGCCAATTTCCATCGGTAATTTTCTTATTGTACGATTTTCCACAAATCTGAACTGATTTGCACCTTAACTATTCACACACAAGAAATCCGGGAGATCATAACCACTAAGGCACTTTTCTAATTTTCCATTTTTCTCAACAAAAATATTCCTGAACACCAGCAGGATATTTTCAAAAACGTTACAGAATTAAATTTTTCAATTGGGTTCTTTAATTTTGAAAAATATATCGGTTTTTATATATCATCTGAAAGAGCTTCGTTTTCTGAGCACAGCGATATTTTTTTCAACCCCACGCACTTTCATCTCGATTTTTAAATCATGATTTAAAGCAAAATAATAACTTCACTGTTTGACACTAAACTGATAAACTGACAGCTCGCTCCCATACAAAGTGACACCGAGGGGCGCTAATTAGGTGATTTTTACAAATGTAATCGTACTTGTTTAAAATAGTTCCAGTGTGCCAAAATTGATGAAATTTTGGGTTTGGGTTCCATTTTTAATGCAGATTACGAATATGCATTTACCTCAATACCCTTAAAGAACCCAATTGTAGATTAAGTTTTGCAGCATCTCAGATGAATCAATTTATCAGGAAAAGTAAAAAAGTGTTCCGCTTCCTATGTCTCAAGGCAAAAATTTATGCTCACAACACTCTTTTTGACGTTCTTCTATTCACCACCAGAAGTTGAATCGATCGTTTAGTTTCTATTAAAAAGGCCTATACTTCTGAACGACGGGTGACGCCGCCCAACCACTCTACTCAGAATTAACTTGAAATTCTCCTTTGCTTTCACAACGAATACGCCTCACACGTCACTGTATTCAGAATTACCTTAAAAATCTGAATTCTAGGGTTATTATACCGTCCTCATAAATCACGTAAAGTGCTCACGGCCAACCAGAACAACTCAGCTTCTAAATTTAATAAATACAGAGCATTTTCTTTCAATACAAAATTTACTCATATTTGGAAAAACCTGCAGTTTTTCATTACACTCAAAGATAAATTAAATCAAAAAAGCTTAAAAAGTATGCAGATTCCCGCTTCACCTTTTGAGTCCGAGCCATGATTACTTCGGTAGTAGTCATGCATGATTAAATTCGAAATAATCTTCCCAGTATTAAATTTTATTCTTTTTCAATAATGATATATAATCAAAATAGATTTAAATTCAATCAAAAATTAATAAAACAGAATCAAAAATGATTAAAATTTATTCAAAAAAGATAATCTTCAATCATATCAACCATGATTAAACTGGGATTAGTATCAATAGTTTAATTTTTAGAAAGAGAATATTAATTTTTAATCATTCGATATGATTAAACTGAGTTTAATGTCAAATTGATTAAATTTCAAGCAAAATGGGAATAGTTTAATTTATCAGTGTAGCTTTGAGTAACTGCAGGTTTCCCCCCCCCCCCCCCCAAATATTAGGTAATTTCGTATGGAAAGAAAATGCTCTGTATTTATTGAATTTAGAAGCTGAGTTGTTCTGGTTGGCCGTGTGCACTTTATGTGATTTATGAGGTAACTAAACTCAAATTTGGGTTTTTCTCATTTGCCGTGTAGCTTACTCAGTACTGAGTACACGCTATTACAAAACTTCCAAAATTTGGGTAGAATCCATCCAGATCGTTCAAAACTGAACCTACACGAAACGAAAATCAATTATTTAATTCATGTGTTTCACTTATACATTTTTGCCAAAGCATCAGCCTTATACATTCCATAAGACAAACCACATAGGTTCTATTAGAATGCATAAAAGGTATGTGTGACCGCTTATACATTTCATTTGACACATGATCTTTATTAACTTTTTGCAAGGCGTCTGCTTATTAGTTGACTTATACATTTTATGAATAATCAGCAATGGAAATTTGCCAAAAGGTATAAGGAGATTTCTATCCGTGTACCCAAAAAAGGGGTAAACTGAGTTGGGAGTGTCAAGTTGACAAATGAACAACGTCGAACGGTTTCATGTCAATGTTGTTCATTTGTCAACTTGTCACTCCCAACACAGTTTACCCATTTTTGGGGTTGGTTCAATTTTAACCGATTTGGGTGGATTTTACTCAAATTTGGGAAGTTTTGAAATAGCGTGTTGAACCTACCCTTCGTTGAATGGTCGTGAATACACGTGAACGAGTTCTAACTGGACAGCCACCTATGTTTCAATAGAAATTTGCGCTGCAATATTTCCCGAATATCTCGCTAGCAATTTTGCATACGAGTTTTCATGTTGCTGGAAAGATGCATTTCACCAGCGACGTCGACCAGTGATGCAGACCTCCTGAGGGGCAATCGATCATGTGTTAGAAAAGGACATTAAATTTAAATTATTTCTTATCTTCGCAAGAATGTTTTTGATTAATTCCGAACAGGTTGACTTTTTTTTTAATTTATATGATTGATAACTGCTAGACTCTAGACTGCTTGGTGATAATCTGTGATACAAGGCCGATGAAAACAGCTCAATACTGAGTTGGATTCGCTTCAAAAAAGGTGGGGAACTTAGTGGATGAGTTAAATTTTCTTCGATTTTCCTCGAAAATTCTGTCGAATACCAGGTAATTTGTTCAAAATACTTCTCAGGAATCCCTTCATTTATGCGGTGGTTGGCATTAACAACCCTCCGCTATATCTCTGCCGTCCTTCAACCGGTTGAGCCGAACTTCTGTATATAACTAGTTTATGGTTGACACTAATCACATGCAAAAAATCAGCGCAAACGGCTGAAGGATAGTTGACAAACAGCGGTAGGTGGACGTCACCACTCACCGCATAAATGGAGGAATTACTGTAATCACATATTTTAATGTCGTTATCGTTTTTGCGGGGTAGCAACACCGCCGAACACCGAAAAAAAAAATAAGGGTGTAGCTATTGGTTGCACCTTTGTTTACAAACAAATGATGGTGAGTTGTCAATGACTCGCGCTTATTGCTGCTTATACTACACCAGTTTAGTGTAGCAAAAACGGGATCGGGTATCAAGATTGGGTCTGTTTGTTTTCTGACAAACGTCAGTTTGCTCGTTTGTTTTTAAAACCTAGCTCAGGTTGAGGTTCACACTGACAAAAAGTTCGGTTTCGCACTGGGTTGGATCTGGTGTGAACCCCGATAATAACCGGCGCCGGTGGTGTAGTGGTAAGCATGACTGCTTTCTCACCCCAATGGGTCTGGGTTCAATCCCAGCCGAGGTCAGTGGGATTTTTCTGTGGCATAAAAATCTCTGGTCACGTCTTCCTTCGGAAGGGAAGTCAAGCCGTTGGTCCCGGCCCATGTGTGTTGAGAGTGGGTGCGATATCCTACGCAGGTGTGGAAGCTGCCTTCCTGCACATTCGGTTGCCGTCAATGGATGGCAATCGATGTCCGTCGGTGATTGGCACTAGATTGCGGAACAGAAACCGACGTTAAATAAAGGAAACTTCGTTCAAAATAGTTAACATATGTGAGCGTAGTCCTACGTCAACTGTTCGTACAACCCCATTGGGCTGTCCCTTGTAGGTTTTTTTTACGTTAAAAATACCGTTCAAACGTAAACGACAATATGGGCAATCATAATTTCTTTCGGTTTAATGATCTTGCATCATGGAATTTGTGATACCTTGAACGGATTTGTGGTTTCTCCGGTAAATGAAACTATTCTTACCAACGTTTGAGTTTTGAGAGATATACACATATATTTTCTGGTTTTCTGTCTTCCATTCCTCTGTTGCACAGACTACCGGTTTATTTTTGTTCTTGTTTCAATGGTTTTGTACATAAGAGAAAACTTGTGTAAATTTCACCGACTTGCGGCTGATGGCACCATCATCAGTTGTAAATTGAAAATTGAAATGTATGCACGAATAATTGGTAGAACGGGAATAAACGGCATTTGGAAAGAGAATGTGTTCACATGTATGTGTGCACTCGTGCTGTAAGCCGATTTTTGTTTGTCTTCTGTGTGTATGTGTGTGAGTGTGTATGTATGATAGAAAAGTGATTCACTGATTGATTTCTCATTTGCGCGTCGTTTTTCATCATAATCTTTGTTTGTTTGTTTGTATGTTTATTCCTAGAGAAAAGGATAGCATTATGCATTTAGTACTATCTGTGGCACCATTCTGAGAGATTTGATATGTTTTGATTTTCAATTTATCATATTTTTCGTTCAGTGAGGCCAACCGAAAAACTATAGGAATTTTTTTGCATTTGCGGTGCTCTCAATCTGTCACCTAAACTTAGGCCTAAGAAGCAAGTTTTGGTTGATTTCGTAGAGTCATTCGTTTCATGTTTTCAATTAGTCGTGTGTGTGTGTGTGTGTGTATGTTTATTTGTGTTTCAGTGTTGCCATCGAGCAACATTCTAGAAAGTTTGATGGACTCATGTTTCGATCGTTGGTAACTTTCTTGACATTTCCAGAATGTTGGACGATTTTGTAGTTTGACATAGTTTTCGTGCATTGTTTTTTGTTTTTTTTTTTTTCATTTCAGAGTGTGCTACTGTTGGAGCGAAAGGCTTTCGCTGTTAGATTAAACCTTCATTTTGCTGGTGTAATTTTGATTTCGTCGAATGGAAATATTTGTTACTCTTTCTGGTGGCTCTTTCACTCTGTTTGTGTTTGTGTGTTTTGTGTGTTCTGTGTGTCTTCAGTTCACAGTATGTTCGAGATTGAGTTGATTGTTGCTGCCATTTGCTGGTCGTGTTTCGTTTCGATTATTTTGATTTCAGTCGAGAGTTCATCGCATTTTCGAAAATCTTGAAATAAAGGATACGAGTGAGAAGATTTGTATGCTGCCGTTGTGATATTCAACCATAACTTCTTCAGGGCATCTTTTTGTTTTGATTTGCTGCATTCAAAGAATCTCCCTATATCAGTTATTCTATTTTATATATATATACTTAATATATGATAAGTAAATGCCTCAGCCAGTATGATATCTTCTTGTTTAGTGTTTTTAGGACCTAAACTTATGTGGTAATCACTATTATCCTATGTTCATTTTTGTATTTATTTATTTTTTGTAATATAACGATATGTTTCTTTGCATAAGAACCGATTATATCAGTATAATATCTGTGACTCTTCATTGTTTTTTTTTATTTATTTTTTTTTATTTTTGTGGCAAGTAATCATTGTTCTGCGGACGAAAATATTTAATAGTTTTAACGTTGTATCGATTATATATCTTACATCGTTGCCGAAATAGTACAAATCAATTAGAAGAGTTTAAATTTCTAGAATGATCGTTGCCGTGTAGTTTCCATCAGTTCGATTAGTTCAAGACGTCTATAAACGCTGCAGTGTGTGAATGTGGTTGTGCCTGGCAAAAGGTTGATCAAACGAACTTACTAGTCAAGCCATCGATGGTTATAAATTCTAGTATTTAGTGAGGTGTTTCTCTTGATGCCATAAAACGTTAGCTGCCACTATTTAAGTCTTGGAACAAGTAGGCCATGTTCACTTCAGTGTTTATCAAGTCTGCCATAGATCATAAAAATTGCACTTTGAGAAAAGAAAACGGCATTTCGAAACTGTTTGTGTTAGATTGTGGTAGCCTTCAAACATATAGTTGTCGTTCCTTTCCTATCTTGAACGGACATGATGAAAACTGTAGTGTCAGAATTGACTGGAGTACTCAGTGAAAAAAAAATATGCGACTTACGACTGCAGCATGCTATGAAGGTCCGTGATAACTGATAAGTAAATCTATTGTCTAACTGTCAATTATTGTACAGGGCCTACCGAAAGTTATTGACGTGAATTGATATTTGACAGGCTGGTCCGTCAATCGGCTTAATCGATTTGAATGGAACCAGAGATGGCCATGACGGTCGTAAAAACCATAAGTCAACAATAGGTCACACATTCGGTGCTGGTGAAAGACTGCCACGTGTTTAGTCCAGCCGAACCGCTCGAACCGAGGGTCGAAATTTTCCTCTCTCTATTTTGTTGGATTTATTTTGTTATCCATTAAGATGTGTTCTGTTCTGTTTTATCACACTTTGGGATAAGATTATTTATGAGGAAGCTTGGTATAATTGTTTAAATTTATTGGTGGTAACATTGTAACTTGTTTACTTCTTAAGTGTGGCTGTTGTTGTTCTCATAATTATTTTTTTAAAGGTGGAGGGAGTTGTTCGTTTGGTAAAATCATGCAAAAAAGTTACTCGCCGGCTTCTGGAATTTCGCATCTTATCACCTTTCAATATTTATATATCTCTTTAAGGAATGCTTTTATTCACTATTTATATCGTTAATATGTATATATTTATCGGCAAGGACAATAAGGACATTGATTGATATGTATTAGTTCATTTTGAAATAGTGCGTGCTGATTCTTGCTTTTGTTTTTACTGTACCATAATATATACTCTCCTAAATAACAATATACCACAACGAGTGAAAACTTTTTTAAAGTTCTGTGCCATTTTCAGAAAATACATACCTCCACTTCATGTTTGTCTGACTGACGAATCAACAGGCGCTATTGGGTAGGACACACATTTATGAAGTACCATTCCATTCTCTCGCTCTCATCTTCAGCTTTCGCTTTTTCTGTAGCCATTCTGCGCCCTGAATCTCTTTTCTATATGTAAGCTTGTTTGTTTATGCAACTAGAAACTTAACGGCTTTACAACAAAAACGTGAGGGGTAAAAGTTTTGGTGTTTGAAACGAAAATAAATAAATTAAATAAAAACACAACCTGTACAATAATTTAGAAGTAAACGCTACTTTTTTTTCTGGTAGTATTTTGATTATGATTTTGTGTCATTCTATCGCTGATTTTGTCTGTTTCCGGAAACTTTTCCTTCTAGATACGCTTGCTATTTGTGGATGCATCACTGCTGCTCTACTTAGCTGCTTAGTGCTTGTTGTAGATGATTCGTTTTTCGCCTGCGGTGTGCTCGATCTGGTGCTTGACCTATAGGGGAAACATGAAGGTATGATATGATGAGTTGAGAGTATTGTTTATTGAATCTTAACTTATCTGCCAAATCGTCTTGGTGTCTTTGCCCCACTTATTTCGTAGGCAATAACCCAAGTAACCTAGTAAACTACTAAATACCCTTTTGCAATGTAAGCTTTATATTTGCCGCATATCTGCCCTATAAAGGTCAACTATCCAAGTAACCAACAAGCTAATTGCCCTTTTTTGCAATACATACAATGACATACAAAAAATATAATGCTCGGAAGCCCTATATTAACTTTATATTAGAAAAAAAAACAGCGATTAGCGGGTAAATAACGGGCTTGCTGGTTACTTGGGAACCGCAAGAGCACCGAAGACACCAATACTACCATTTAGACGGAATTGATTTTCGGTAGAAACTCGCACGTTTATCACACTTGTTTAAAAGTGCAACCGCGGGGGTGATATGTCAAGCTCTCTAATATTCTGTAATAAACAATTAGGTGTTTCATACTGCTTCTGACAGCACTCATCATAAAATTTCGGACACTAAGATAATGTCGGGAAAAAATATATACACATAATTCAACTAAACTGATTGTTTATTTCAGTAAAGTAGACGTATATCGACAGCAAACGTAGCTTATTTGAATGTAAATTTTTTGTCTGTAAAACTCTCGAACTTTCTGTGGATTCCCTTAGTGGTGGCGCGTGCCTCCATCTCCTCTTGAAATCATTGATGACATTTGCTTTCCTCTTTCTTTCGAATAGTTTCCGCTTAACCAGAGCCCAGTACCTTTCTTTTGGGCAAAGTTCTGTAAAGTTTGGGAGAATGGCTGTTTTGGCACGTATTTGACCTCTTGTGAATTATACCATAGAGGTAACTCTAAGACCAGAAGGTCCCGAAGAGACGTGCTCAACTTTTTGGCTCAGCTCTGGTACTATCTTCGGTCCCAAGCTAATCGATGCACCCCTCGAAACATAGAAAAATCCACGAACCCCTCATTTTATCTGTCAAACTTTCATAGCGAATCAAAACAAACATTGTGTAGTACTAGAATGGGGTACGTTAATCGATTTGCTTGGGACCAATTGGCTAGTCAAGTAGTGAGCCAATTTAAAATCGTTAGCTTCCACCCGGGACGGGACTTGACAATCCAGCTTCTCACTCTTCTTAATGTTTATGATGAATGCCCGTCGAAAATCAGTGCATGGTGTTTGACGGAGTTGACCAATGATGCTAGGATTGAAAAATGATTTTTCTATTTTAATTTTTATTTGATTCGAAGTTTCTACCGCAGATTAGCACCTTGTACATCATTTTTACTTAATACAATAAAAACAACCATAAAGCATGCCGTGGACCCTATTTTACAACAAATATAAACATTAAACAACGCCATTGACGTCAACATTGATTCCGGCATCACTACCAGCCAGAGTGATGTGATCCCTCTGTCCTTTTTATTCCACGATTGCTACTGTCAAATCGAGCAATCAGCAACTGGCTCGGATTTGACAGCAAATTGGCTCAAAATCGCTACCCGATTGTCAAGTCCCGTCCCAGGCTTCCACCGGTTGATTATACCATTCCAGGATGGATTTTGCATAGTGAAAAGAGGCCAAATCAGGCCAAAAGAGAGCTGGAGTGTCATGGCTTCTGATGAATGGTAGCAACCGCATTTCCAAACATTCTTTCTCATACACATCTTTGTTGATAGTGCCAGTAGAGATGAAACTTTTGGATTCCCGGCCCGCAACTAAATATTTTTTGGGGAATCTCAAAAGCTTCTTTGTCCGGAAACACTCGGCAACGCAGTATAAAAAGCCAAACCCGGAAGTTGTTTCAAGTCTTCGAGCACGTATGTTTCGTCGTCCATTATGATACAAGAAATTTTTCGCAAAAACTGGGTGAGAAGCTCCTTAGCACGACTTTTTGCAGTAAAATTTTGCTTATCATTACGATTGGGCACCTTTTTTCACTTTGTACGCCTTCAGCCCATGGCTCTGCTTCACTTTTTTTTACATATAAAGTTGATTTTCGAACTTTGCGAGCTGCATTACGAACTGAAAGGTTTGGAGGTTTCTTAATAATGGCTACCACCTTCTGGTCCATTTGTCGAGAGCATACTTTTCTATTTGTTTCGCTTCTAACCCGCCGATCCACAGTTAAGTCAAACGATTTGCACTCACTAAACACGGTACTCTTTTACAGTTTTAGCTCTTTGGCGAGATCACGTACCGACAACGCTGGATTTTGCTGCCGCTCGTACAAAATGCGTTTGCGTACTTGCACTTCATTCGATGCCATTTCACCAAACTGAATAGGAATGTAAACATGTTGTTTCAGTTGTTCGTGAAACATTTCAAAAACTACACTGAAAGAAAGGTGTCCGAAATTTAACGTGAACAGGCTTTTATATCAATAATGGTGCAATTTGTCAGATATATTATTTCTACATATTGTCAAGGGCCACCCACATTAGATCCGTTTGCGTTGCGTTGACGTAAATTTGACAGTAAGACAATAATGGCAACTAACGATTTCAAATTGGCTCACTACTTGACTAGCCTACACAATGTTTGTTTTGATTAGCCATGAAAGTTTGACAGATAAAATGAGGGGTTCGTGGATTTTCCTATGTTTCGAGGGGTGCATCGATTAGCTTGAGACCAAAGAGAGTACCAGAGCTGAGCCAAAAAGTTGAGCACGTTTCTTCGAAACCTTCTGGTCTTAGAGTTACCTCTATGGTACAAGTACTCTTTTTTGTTTTGAAAAATCTTGTACTTTTCTTTTGGTAAAACGGAGGTTTATGTACTCTTTTATCCGAAAACTTATGACTTTTCCATATTAGACCGACTACCTCCGACTCCATAGTCGATTGTAATTTGTTTTCATTCAAATATAAAACAAACCAAATTGGGTTGTTGAGTTTTGAAAAACATGCCCGTTTTTTACATCATCTGAAAGAGCTTCGTTTTCTGAGCACAAATATATTTTTATCGATCCCATAGACATTCATCTTCATTCATCTTGATTTGTAAACCAAGTTTTAAATTGTCAATAAATTGCATTCGATGGCATTAATATCCATTAAATCAGTGCCAACATTTCAAAGGGGCGTAATTGTTTTTGTAAACAAAGGCTTTAGCCGTCGATTTCTCGCAACTAAAAGCTTGCCCCTCCAAATAAACAACGCTAGGTGGCAGAGGAAACATTCCTTTACCTGTTGGTGTCATTATTCTTCTTGAGTGAGCTTTTATTCGCGAGAAATCAACGGGTAAAGCAATTGTTTACAAATGCAATTACGCCCCTTTGAAATGTTGGCACTGAAATGACAGTTTGCTCTATATCTTGGATTTAGGTTCCATTTTTAATGTAGATCATACAAAAACATCAATACCCCTAAACAACCCCATTTTTTTATCTAGTTCGTTTATTTGTAAGGTTCAATCTAACTGAACAACCACATTGGGCGATTACTATTTGCTATTATTTTATATGTATATGGTAGAATATAATCAAATTCATACTACTCATGTTTTGAGTGTATCGAAATATTACGCTTTTCAATCAAGCTATTTGATAAGCCCCTCGTTTGACAGTTTGATGTCAGCTGTGACTGACGTTCAAGGTAACGTTTAACGAATTTCGAGATAGCTGCTCAGCCACTGTCAGGCTACTGAGGCTGTGAACCATTTGCCGAGTTAAATTTAACTCGTGGTTAAAAGTGACATTTCGAAAGTTATTCTCTATGTTCGAAAATCCCTGTGCTGTCGATCGACCAGTTTTCGAGAAGAATTTAGCCAAGGTTGTCAAAATTTAACTTCTTGTCTGTCCGAAGTAACCACACTCGCATAGCAGGGTTAATCGATAACTTTCCATCTGTCAAATTTTAACCAAAAGATAAAATAATACACCAAATGGTTCAGAGCCTGAGAATGTGCAAGCCACTCCAAGCATAAACAAAAGTTTTGAATGTGTCCGAACAATTTGGTATCTTCTCGGCAGCATAATTTTAACTATTGATATCATACACGTATAGTTGTAATTGTTTTGGTAAGTTGCAAGATTATAATCCCACCCGAGCTTTATTATTTCTATAGTAAATCTTTCTCAGTCATCATGCCTCGCCGAAGAACCAAGTTTTCGGAAAGTTTGCAGAAAGAGTTTCCGCAATTAGAGCAACCGTAACGGTCGTTGTCATTTGCGCGACTATTTTAACAGCGCACAGCGCTCTCATTTTAGTTTAGTCACTCTTCTCCACACCGGTCGCTGCTATCGCGGTTATCAATTTACTCGCCGTAGTCCGTACCGGTAGTGAGCATTTTGACAATTCTACGAATAGCAACCTTTCTCCCGCGCTGCTATCGCGCTGCTAAATTTGGTAACGCGCTTGTCACCGAGAAGCCGGCTGCTATTTTATGTCGTTTTCGTTTTTGCGGTGTAGCACTGGTGAAGTGTAAGCAGGAATAGTGCGAGTCTTTGACAGCTCAACATCATTTGTTTGTAAACAAAGGTGCATTCTATATCTACACCCTAAAATATTTCGGTGTACGGCAGTGTAGCACCGGTGTAGCTACACCGCAAAAACGAAAACGACCAGCGCTGCCATTTATACAGATTTATCTGTATTATACAGATTTTTTAATCTTAATACAGACCCGATACAGAATACAGATTTATCACAGATTTTTAAATTACAATACAGATTTATACAGATTTTTATAAAATTCAAAATTTATAAAAACAAAATAACTTTTTTGATTGTATGGGGATTTACAGTATTAATTGAATATTTCCAATATAAGCATGTATGTTAAATACAAGAAAAGTGCCCGAGCACATTAAAATGGTACAAATACAAGTACTCGTAAACATTTTACTTGCATTGAAAATGTATTTCGTAAGAAATTGCGGATTTTCTGATATTCTCCATACTGCAAAAATGATTTTACCAGCACTGGCGGGGCGACATCTCTCGACTTTTCGGTGTAACTACCACACA